TATGGTTTGGGAGCAAAAAGAAGAAAGGTGACTTTAAAGGCCTTTGGGATGCAGAGTAGCTAATCGTTAGTGGACGTGAAGCAAACAAATTTAGAAAGCAGCAGCATTTTCATGCTTATTTCATAAACTCAAGGACACAATGCACAAGCATGGTTGTTCTGTTGCCTGCCATCTAATGGCCAGACAAGAGAGCAAAGTAACCTGGTTTCAGCCTGTGGTCTGTGAATCACAGGGGGTTCTGAGGCTAAATACACAGAAAAATAACCAGAAATGCAAGCTCTTGCACAAAAGTTTGTCTGTTACACTGTTACACTGTGTTGTTACAAGTGGCCACAATAGAAAAATGCTGAGAAATAGAGAAGAATTCTATATTTGCCTGGCAATATATTGTTTTTAAATATTGCTGGTCTTAAAGCAATTACCAATCTCTTAAGTGAATGAAAATCATAATTTGAGACATTTGGAATTTTCCTTTCTTATGAGCAGGTGAATTACTCTGTTCATTTCCTCCATTTCTCCCCCACCGACGTGCAGCAGCCCATTCTTTTATTGTAATGTGCAGGATATCAGATCTCACAGTGATGGGGGATGTTAGCACACACCTATGCCTTTTCCTCTTGGGCAGGCCACAATGGCACCTGCAATAACTGACACTGGTTCCGCAGCGCAGAGATAGCTGGAGGTAAATCTCTGCCAGAATAACAAAGAAGAGATGGTGAGATGTTCTGGTTTAATATCCGCTCCATCTTTCTTATCTATATTAGAAACGCCTGTCAATAAGGATGACTGAGTAGAGCTGGAATTATGAAGCACCTTCCAGGTTCCTTTATCTCCTGGAGCAACATTAATACTTATATCTAGTAAAAGATACTGGCTGAAGGAAAGACCATTGTTTGCCTGCGCTGGTGCATTTGTTTAGGAAACATGCTTTCAATTCCATAATGTTATTTGAAATGCCTTCTTCTGCTCTGAGAAATATCCACTTTTGTTGTTCTTTGTGAAACAGAAGCTGAAGATAACAGGCTTGCTCACAAAAGCCCTGATTTGAATATGCTAATGTTAATTTAAGCATTGAGTTGCCAAATTTTCTTGTGAGGATTTTTTTTTTGTAGTGTGCACATTTAATATTTGTGTATGCATTATTCCCTGTGCTTCTCTGATTCACAGACACTGAGTAAATATTGTCTTTCAGTATGATCTACAGCAGAAGTCAAAAATGACACTGCAAAACGAGACTCCTTTTCCCAGGTACAAATCTCCTTTTTCCTCTTTTTTTTTTTTTCCTGGAAATTCAGGGGAAATTACTTCTGTACCCAAAGGGCTTAGGAACTTTTTTTGGTTGATGCTTCCAACCTAAATATTACAGATTATGCCAATTTCTAATATAGCATCTGGCTGAACTAATGGTGTGTGTGAATCAATTCCTCTCTCCATGTAGCTCTGCTGTTTTGAATGCAAATGGTGCAAACAGACCTCACCTCCCCCAACAGGAAACGGTGATCAATGCAATGAGTAATAAAACTGTGACAATAGGAAACTGTACCTTCCCTTTTAGAACATCATCCGTGGGAAAGCGCATGAAACTCTTAACTCTCTGTAAGAGATGCTGAGAACAAGATCTCGTGTCTGTGAGATGTGATTTCTGCTGTTCTAACTGTAAGCAGAAGGTGAAATGCATTACTTGAAGTGAGGCACCAGTAAAACAGCCTGTTTGGCAAAAACAAACCTATCAGCTGCCTGCAAAGCGGAGGCTTCACAGAGGTTGCAGTGTATGAAATGCTGCAACTAATCGGTGTGGCAACAGGGGAAAACCTCTTCCATAAGCTGATGGCTTTGAAGCAGTGTTGCGTCGTGTTGGTACATCAAGTTGCCCAAGGAGGTTGTGGATGCCCCGTCCCTGGAGGCATTCAAGGCCAGGCTGATCGTGATTCCAGGCAGCCTGGTCTGGTGGCTGGGGACCCTGCGCATAGCAGGGGGTTGAAACTAGATGATCGTTGTCCTTTTCAACCCAGGCCATTCTATGATCAGCACAGACACTTGTAAGGACAAGTAAGCACGTCCTGTTGTAAGGATGCATTTAACAGTATTGACAAAATACAAATACTGAGTTCCTTTAAGTCTGCACAGGTGCCACGTTAGTTAGCAGTTATTGTCTTATGGATGCATTACTGCTTGCATAGTTTGTGAAACGCTCATTGTATCCCACAGTTGTGTTAAAGTAAAGCATGTGTGTTAGATCACCCAGTTATGTACATCTCAGTCTGAGCTGAAAAATACCCAGTTTGGTACTTACACACTGTGTGAAGTGGACAAAGTGATAAATCAGAGAAAGCTGGACTACCAAATGCATTAACTATGCATTAAATAAAATATTTAACTGCGTTTAATTGGCAGATAAGCCGATTTTAGGAGAATGAACAACTGCCTTAAATGAATCGGTAGGCAGAAGCTGTTGTCCTGTGAAGGACCATACACTGGGCAAGATTATGTGCTCAAGAAACTCCACAGTGCTTTATTTCGAAAGTGGGAGGCTGACTCTGTGGGATCTTCTTATTTTAGTTTATTTTGAGGATCCCAAATGAATGATATGGACATCACTTTTTTCTTGGCTGAATGCCTCACTAGCATGTTACAACTGAACCCCAAAACCACCTTTCAGTGGGCAGCAGCCATTCTTGACATCCTCTGCACTCACTTAACAAAATGATCACCTGTATATTTTTCTTTCCTCAGCCTCCTCCAGTTAATTGTTAACTAGTGTAATCTCTGCTGGTTTGCATTAACGACAGCCTAAATGATGAGGTGTGACACTTCTGTGGTGCTCAGCTTAGGAATTATTTCCCTGTATGACTCCATTCCTTCTGAATGGCTCATCTTTGTTAGATCAATGTGCTGGTAAGGGTTTTCCACTGGGACTTGACTATTGCTACTTCCATTTCCTAACAACAGACATAAATGAGAAGTTTACACATGTTCAGTTTACTTTTGCTAGCAGAAAATAGGAACAAATTACCAGGAAATGAAATGAAATATTTCAATTTATGCTCTCTAGTTGCCAAAACTGTATGCTGCTACAAGACTTTCAAGGAAACCTGATTAGAGACTGCCCTTGTAAGAGTATCTGGCAGAAGCATGGCTGAGCCCACGTGTTTGCACAGCATTTGTTATTACACACATCGTTATAAACAGACCAAACTTTGCCCTCTTATCTGCATCTATGCCTCTTGTAGGAGCAGTGAAAGAAAGTAATTTGTGAGCAGTATTTGACCCTTGGAGAACAACGTGCATCTGCTTAAGGCCATTTTTTCATACCAAACCAAAATGATTTAGCAAGTGTTTAATTTGAACGATTTGGCGTAAGTGTCTTTTTGAGTGCTTTATCAAGCTAGAGCAATCATCAGCTGCTTAATAAATATTGGATTAAAGTCTGTAAAGGGAACTAGCACACGTATCAGAAGGACAAAACTGAAGGAGCCTTGCCAGATTCTAAGCTTTTCTCTTTGCTGTGCACTGCTGTGTTGTGTGGGCTGCAGTATGTATTTTGCTGATGCTGGGCATCGCAACACCAATATTATTTTTGACAATAAAAACTGTAACAGGGGCTGTAATTCTGGCAGTTTGCTGGAGTTGTACAGCAAAACCTCCATAGAATTCAGTGCTGTTAGAGAAAACTACAGGAACAAAACTATTAGCCCCAAACACCCGTTACTAGCAGTCACAATTCAGCAGTACTTTTGAGTCTGTGCTGAAATGAAAAATCTGGGCTTTGAACTGTCAAGCATTTAACATCCTAGGATGTTAGAATAAGGATTTAGTAATATATGGTGATAATTAAAATGCAGAAAAGTAGAAAGTGTAGTATTAAAATTGCCGTGTGTCAGTATATTTTTTCATAACAAGTGGTTATTTTCCAGTGCATATTCCGAAAACACCCTAGCAGTAATAGCATTCTTCTTGCACTGTGCTGTATACTGTCACCAATAGCTGTCCCTTTGGTTTATGTATCCTTATTATTTTGAATAGATCTGCCCAGCTGGATTGCTGTGCTTAGTTGCCATCAAGCTGTGTCTCTGTGCCTTTGGGTTGACTTCCTCTCTGCTGCCCATTTCCTGGGTGTTGAATCTCTGCTAACCTTTGAGATCTCAAAGCTCTCAGGTTTTTCAGTGGAAGAACTCTCCTTTGTGTAAGCTTGAAGCGATGCAAAGCAGAGCCCTCAGAGCAACTTGCTGACTTTATGTCCACTGAGACATTTGGTGATCTATTGGTTTCATAACCTCAACCACAATTCGTATGATATAATACAAAGATCCCTAAGCAATATTCAATGGATTCATTTTTCTTTTCATCCTCATAGACATCCCACGTTTTTCTTTTTTCCTTTATTTGGAATAATAATAATAAAAAAACATTTTTATGATAAACTGAAGACAAACAGTCTTCACATGTTAGAGTTGTTGATAATATATGCATATAATGTACGTGGGCCAGATTTGGGAAACTGATTTGGGATCTTTAACTGCCACCCTCTATCTCATGTCATTGGGGAGTGCAGCTTGTGTGTTGGATCTAAATACTTAAGCAGTTATCAAATGTTTTGGTTTAATTACAACACTGTTTACTAGCAAGTTAGTAGTAATTTTATATGTGAGTGCAACTCAACTTTGTCAGCTTCAATGTCTTGGTAGTGGAAATGCTCAGTGAAGCTATTGTTTCAGTCCATAGGAAGTGGAAAACAGCAAAGATGCCTGCTTTTCACTTTTCTTCCCCAAGAAGACTAAAAAAAAGCAACCATGAGTTGAAGGCAGGGCAATAATGGCATGAACTGTGTTATTCACATTTGTTCTCTTCAATGCATGTAAATGGTTACTCTCTCACAGTCACACATTGATGTATACATACATTCCCATGCTCTGTGACCTCCACAGTACAATTTCTCCTGCATGCAAGCTAAATTTAAGTAAAATGTCTTAATTTCAAGAACAACTTAGACATCCATTAAATCAAAGTTCAAGCATTTTGCTTTATTATTGTTCATTAGAGTATTAAGGCAACCAGTATTTTAATATTTGCATTCGGAGTTGCTCAAGCACAAATTGATACAGCTGCAACAGAACTTTGAACTGGCAGCGCTTTCAGTCACAACTGAACAGTTGTGTAGAACCTGTGCTGTGTTTGGTGCTGAGCATCGGTAAGGAAGGTTGGCTTAACAAGAAGAGCTGCGTCTGTCTGAGAATAGCATCCTGCTGGTCTATTCGGGTGGGTTCTGGATAACAATCAGCAGATACTCCTTATCTGCAAAAGCATTTAACACTGCTTTGTTAGTTTTTTTCCTTCTTTCCTCGTAAGCAGTCCTTAGTTGATTTACCCTCTTTTTCTTTAATATAAGAAAAAAGCAATAATATTCATGTAATTTTCAAAATTACGCCTTTTAAAAACAAACAAAAGAAACCCCACAACAACCCGATTTCAGATTAAAATTGTCATAAATTGTAACTGTAACATTTAAAATTATATTAGCAAGCAGAATATTTGCTTTCAAGAAACTGTAAATATACTTAAACAAGAAGCAGACAGTCACAATAATATAATATAATAAACTTATGGCATCTGCAGCCTCTTCTGCAGGTGCAGGAAACTTCTTTCAGTTCACTATCTGCTTTATTCAGAATTGAGAACCCCATTTAGAGATTAAAATAGCAGAAAAGGTTTGGATAGACCTTTATTATGAATAAATTCGAAGCATGCCAGGCTTTGCCAACTAATTCTAAAAGCCTGCGGAAGTTTTTGAGAAAATTCAGTTGGATAGCTATTTATTATCTATTCCAAAAGAAATATTTAAGTGAATTTATTAAGGTCATATTTGCTTTAAGAAATTATGAAGTTGAGTCTACCTCTGGGCTTGTTTTGTTGCCCACAAGCTTGAATGCTATGAATCTGGTACATTAATAGCACTTGTTTCCATGCTGAATAGGTAGCTTTCTTTTCACGTGTCTTTAAAATACGTTTCCTAAGGTAGCTTTACTGGTGAACAGTTAAAAGAAACTTTTCTGTCACTTTAAACAGAAACATTACCTGGAGCTACCATGATTTGATGTTTCTTTGATCTGATCCTGAGGACGGTTAGATCATTCTGAGGATCAATATCTCTCACTGTGCTCCTCGCTTTCATGGTGAGCTGATGAAGGAGACCTGCATAGTGCGCTGTTGTCGAGTTATCAAGAGTTGTTCTTATTGGAATTCCTGAAAAGAAATAATTTTCTCGTTCAGCCATTTAGTTAAGTTTCTTATTTATTTACAGCAGAATTTAAAACAACAACAACAAAGGTTTTCATGGTTTTTTTTTTTTTCTCCTGCTTTGCAGCAAGGAGAACCTGCTCATTGCAGGTATCTGTGTCTTTTTAAAGTGTAACTTACATTAATCAGCGGCAGTTAAGCATTGTTGCCTAACAGAGCCATTGAAAGAGTTATTGCTGTTCAAAGCTCTTAAATTCAAATTCCCTTCAGTAGTCCTTAACCAGCACCGGTGCTTCCTCAGTTTAAACATTGTCCCTGAGTTTGTTACTTTGGCCCCAGGAATGGGTATGCAGTGATGGAAGTTCTTCCAGCGAAGTACCAAGAGCAGCCTAAGGGCCGACGTGGTGTGTGTGCTTTAGACAAGCAAAGCCACTCTGGGAACTGTCCTTTACAGCTGCATGCAAAATATTGACAGTGTATTGATCCTAACTATTAAAATATGATTACATAGGATTAATTTTCAATGATTCAATGAATCATTGTTTTTCAATGAATTTTGTTAATCATGCTTTTTATATTAACAGACTACCAAGTGAAGCTGGATGCATAGGGTTCATAGTAATCTTGCAAGTGTAAAATGAATGTTTGGCTTTAATAAGCTTGTTTCACTAATAAAAAAATTATTTGACCTACTAACAAAGACAGTAGATTAGAAGTTAACAAGGCAGTTTTCCCAGGTGGACAGGATAGGGATACAAGGGTGGAGTAAAATGACTCAAGTTGAAGAGTTTGATTCACGGAATAAGAATTAACATGCAAAGATAGGGAATGACAGGTAAAGACTTGGAGGGAAATGAACAAAAGAAATAACAGAACCTCCTCAGATATTAGACGATTCCATAATTTTCCTAGCAAAGCATTGTTTGAATCACTTGAAATCAGTGCTGTCATGAGAAATAATCCTGTGTTGGCAGGATACTTAGTGAAGCTCAACAGGATGACCCAGCATGTACTTTGTGTGTAATGTTTATTACACAGATCGAAAGAGGTTTTGCAAAAACAAAAGAGGTGCTCACAAGCACTGCATTAGCATGAGAATATCTATATAATCATAGCATTAAACAGTAAGTCACTTACAAGCAGCAGTGAATGTGTCAGGATTATATGACCTCTTGTCTAAATGACCACTTCAGCAAATGCAGCACTTTTAATGAAAATGGTAAATGTTAAATGATTCTCCAAGGTCTAATAATTACTTGAAAATGAGTTGACACTAGTGACGTTCTTAGATGAAAGCTAAACTGTGCTTACTTTAGGACAAATGCTCTTTGCCTCTGCCCCCCAAATTAGAGAGAAGCAAATAAATCCTTCATTAGAAATGCTGCAGTGTGATCCTTCACAAATGAAAATCTCCAACTGTTGCTGTCCTTTACAAAATGAACAATGTATGCTTAGCTTGGCGTTTCAATGAAAAACTCAACCTTGAATGTTAAAATAAATGACAGGCAATATTAGCTTCAGGAATCTTTCGTTTGCTGTTCCATCTGAATGCTGCTATACCAACGTTATTACCCATACTATTAAGAAACCTTTGTAAAAGATAAGAATATCTGCACTACTTAGATGGAGCAGTGCTGCTTAGGGGTAGGTGTGCTATGAAATCATGCAACTACGTATCTGCTTTGAGATTTAGTTTGTGGAATCTGATTTCTTGGTGTGTTGAGTACATCCTCATAGAGTTCAGCATCCGTTGTGTTTGCAATTGGTGTAGGAAGACTTCTAAATGAGAAGCTAAAACCAAGATTCCCGAACGAGTCTGTCTAATGGAATTCAGTCTGGCCATGTTTTGCAGGTTTATGAGGGTGGGGAAGTTTGAACAGGACATGGTGGGCAGACTTTACATCTTGTCTTGAATGGTATAATGCCCCAAACCCCCCACCAAAGCTGTGCTCTGGAGTGTTCTTCCTCCTTTGTAAATCAAAGTTGAGACAGAAGGAGCATGTAAGAGCCTTTGAAATCACATAGTGTTGTCAGGAGAATTCTTCACAGCTGTATCTGAGTGTCCCTCAATAGCAAAACTGCACCAGTAGTAGGTACATGTGAGTGTACTGCTGCAGTTGTACACCAGAGAGGAAAAGCATACTTGACCTAGTTGCTAGGAACTCAACTGTGCCAAGATACTGAGCATAAATCTGTTGTTTTTCTATTAGATTACATTGGTGCTTTTGCCATCATAAATGTATCAGTCTGTAAACTTGGCAAGGATCATCTGTGTTACCTAAGAGTTGATTTTGTTCTTTAGTTTGTAGCTACATAGATAAGTCACTTTCTATTTAATCAGGATACAGAAATAGTTCAACCAATACCAGTTCTGAAAACAGCCTGTGTTTTGAGGTTAGGAAATACTTATATCCAGAAATGAGCACAGAGAAGGCTTTTGGTTGCTGTTTGCTGGGCTGTGAGCTTCTGGGCTTGCATCTGTTCTGTGTACAAGGGCATGTTTTGCTTAGCATGCCCAGGCATGCAAAACAGTTGTCCAGATTTTCTGAAAACGAAGTAACATTCAAGTTTCGTTCTTAGTGTTGTTTCTACTTGCTAAACTGCTGGCAGTGCAGTGTGTTTTTTGAGGGTGTTGTAGAAGTGAACCAAATTTCAGGCAAGGTCACTGAGTTGTCTGATCTGTGAGGAATGATTCAAAGATCAACCTGAAGCCTAGCTTCTGAAATCTGATTTCTGTGATGAGTTTTACTTTGGTTTGTGCTTTTACATCCCAACCAAAGACTGCATGACAAGAATCTTCCTTTTCCTCACCCCGTAACGCAGTTTAAAGAACTTCTGAGTGTTCAGTAGAACCAAGGAATGGTTCCCAACAACGGAAGCCCAACTTAGTAGACACATCACTCCTTGTTTGCTCTTTCCTGGCTTTTCAGAAGAATCAAGGCAGCAGTGAACTTGTGCGAATGCAAAGGGCTTGGGGCTGAAAAACACCTGTCAAAACAACAGCTTAGTGCCACGTGTTCTGCCTTCTGTAACCTGCTGAATGATGCTCAAGCTATGGTGCTGAAAAATGAGATGCTGTTTAGTCAGACAAGGAGATAATTAGCAATACCTAAGTTCTTGAGTTGCATGAAGGTTGCACTATGAGTTATTTCATCAGCTTGTGCTTTCTGTGTCCTATGGACCTGAACCGTAGCCTGCACCGGGACACGGCTACAAGCTGTGCTGCTCTGCCTTACAACCAGGCACGTGCTCTTGAGAACGTGTTCATAAAGCACTGCAAGCAGACTGCTTCATCGCCTCGCAGTCTCCGCAGTATTGGGTTCACTGCACTGGGTTTGTTACTTGGGGAAAGCCGAGGGGGCTTTACCTTCTGCATTGACAACCATAGTCACCACGACCCCTTTGTACGCTTGAATCCTTTTTAGGGTTTCCTCCGTTTCAGCCTGCGGGTAGAGAGCGCACCACAGCACCACAGCTCCCGCCCGGCCGCCACAGCCCGGGGTCCGCCCGCAGCCCCCGCCCTCCCCAGCGCCGTTGCCGTCCCGGGGCAGCGGGAGGAGCAGCGCCATTACCATGGCCGGGCCGTTGGGGGGAGCGGCGGAAATGACGGCGGGAACGGAGCGGTGCGGCTCGGGACGAGGCGGGAAGCGGCGGCTGGCTGTCGTCGGAATGGGCTTTCGCTGCTCGAGCTGGCGAACTGCAGAAGTGTGAAACTGAATTATAGAACTGACGCGTAGGGTGACAGGTTGGAAGGGACAGAGGTGATCCTGGCCCCAGTAACCAGGCAGGCAGTTCCAGTGGCCCAGAAGTTTCTCTCAACGCTGCTGCTTTCCTTCGTGGAGGCACGATGCTTCCGTCTTTCTGAAACCAGTGCAAATATCAGCTCGGCTTTGCAAACAAACAAACACACACACACAAAAGACAAACAACAACAACAACAACAACAAAACCCACCAAACAGTATGTGAAGTGGCAGCACGATGCGCTCTTGTAAGCGTTATTTATGCTGAGGATGAAAGGATGAAACGTGAGGACCCTCACAGGTGCTCAGGTTGGGCCTGGCTCAGATTTAGACTTGTAACAGTAAATGAAGATATTTTCTTGAAATACTGAGAATTCAGATTCCAAGCAACAGGTATATAGATATATATATCTATATATCACAATAGTGAATACAGTATTAGGACTGGGGTGTTGCTGCTTGAGAAACAGAAGTGCTTCCTAGCCTTGGGAGTGCTTCCCAGTGAGTTTGAATATGTTAGTAAAAGCAGCAAGTGAACCGCTTAGATATCAGGTGCTTGGACTAAGAGTGTGGTGTCTGAACTCTTAAAATTTCTGATTGCCAATTTTGAGGCAAAACATCAACAGAAAGGTAGAAAATACTTAGAGCTATTTCTGTATTCTTTTCTTCAGGCTGTGGCAGAAGATGCAATTCTGCTCATGGGAACGAGGAAGAGGACTGCTGGTAAGTCCATGGGAATTTAAATCCTTCCTTGCTTCTTGAACCTGGAGACCCAGGAAGAGGGAGGAAGGAGAGAAGTGCTGTGTCACTGGATGCACTGTGCTACGCAAGTGCTGTAAACAGTCTTGCTTTGCTGCTGGTCATTATGAAACAGCATAAATTAATTCGGGAAAGACATTGCTGTTATGACTGATAAACTTGGTATCAGGTAACTCTAAAGCTCTGCAAGCTGTTATTGTAGCTTCCCTGCTTCCTTCCTTGTCCGTACTTAGGATCTCTAGAAGTTTTCAGTTTGTTGGAAGTGAAATGAATCAATGTCTGATTGGTAATAATACAGGAAAAGCTGAAAAAATTAGCTGTTTGTTTTTATTTCTAGCTAAATAGTCATGATGGAAATTCAGTGGAATCAGTTCATGTACCATAGTAGTTGAAAGCTTGGAGTCCGCTCGTAGATTTTTAGCTCACAGCCCTTATGAATATATACAATAAATAAATGGTTTGATACAATGTGATTATTTTGATGAAGTTCTGAAAGAAAGAAAAATGCAAAATGTGTTCATGTGAACTAGAAGTCTGAAATCTTTAGCACAGATGTGTTGCTAGAAATTACGTTGCTTATCAGTCATGCATCAACCATTGAATGGGGGATACAGATGGGGTTTATTGCTCACAAAATCAGTGGGGTGATGCAGTCTCTTCTGTGCTAAAGGTAAAAGCGACCTTCTCCAGGAGCTACTGACTTGGAATGACGCTCATTGCTGTTTCAGTGTGCCGTGGGTGGGCTCTGAGTCCTTATGTCAACTGAAGAAATTCTTATATATTTCTGACTTGCACACTTGTGGTGAATGATCTGCAATAGTTGAAATCCATTAAATAAATGATTAATTGCAAGGTATTAATTTGCTAACGCAAGCAAATTGAATTTGGTTGTTGCTCCTGAGGGTAAATGAGAAGACATTTCCTGCATTGGAGCTTCTTGTGTGCTGTTTTTTAGTGATCTTATACAATAGATGCTCTTCTCCTATGTAAAACTATGCAGAGTAGTATCGAGGGCTTGAAAAAATATTCAGGAGAAATTTGAGCAAACTGTTGCTGTACTGGGTAATGATATCTCCTCGTTAATTTATTTTATGGACTCTGTGGGAACATGCTCTGGTGTTTCAGTTGGTGTTAAGATTGAAATTAAGATTGAATCAATTCATAACGTTACAATAATTGGGTAGGAAAGCAGAGCGCTTTAATAAAGCAGCTGCTTAACCATAAAAGGAAGATTCTGTCAGAGTTTTTGGTGCATGCAGGTGGAATCATTCAGTGTTTTGTTTAAAAAAATCTTTCACAGTCTCGCTGTCCGTTAACAAAGTTTTATTTTAATCCTCTGTTACCTCAACAAATTCAAATATTATAAACTGAAGAAATACGTTTAAATTGTCTGCCGTGTTCCGCATATGCCTACAGTTTTTAAAAGCTGCTGTGTAAGTGAGTGGTAAAATGGAAATTCACTCAAAGCCTCTGCGTGTAAAGATTCCTTTCCCAACTTTCGAGAGCAGTTTCCCATGCTTTTTCCCTGCTGTGTGAGGAATTTACAGCTAAAATCCTCTAGATGGTGCTACAGCTATAGTATATTCCAGTGAAGTCGATGGTAAGTTTGGATGAAATCCTTGGGCTTGCTGAAAGGCCATCCCGTTTAAGTCGCGTATTGTACGAAAGGATTACCGACTTCAGCTAGGCTGCCGTTTCCAGGTTTATGCACGGTATGATCAGCACAGGTTGATTACTTATCCTCAGATAGGTAAGAACAGAGCAAGGACTTTAGAGATATTGGAGACTTGCAGGAACTGTTCTGTGGTCAGATTATCCCCTCCTCGCCCCAAGTGCCTGTAACGCACCTCCGTAGTGCATCCATCCCTGGAGTGCTGCAGGGCAGAGGTGTCCAACTGCAGCCTGCCGTGCTGAGTAAGTGACAGCAATAAGGGCCTCTTAAGGCATCCAGCAGATGTTACTGCTTTTGTATGCTAATGGAAACTTTACGAACCATTCTGTTCCTTCTGAGAGCTGATGTAAGTACATGAAAATCGCTTCCTTATATCAAGAGCAAATTGATAATAGCCTTGGTTCACTTGTAGAGGCACTTTATTTGATAATTGCTGAAAGCTTATGCAGAGCTTCGTCAAAATTAATATTTGGTATTCTGCCAGCTTTCCATGTACTGAAGCAGCTGAGCAAAGTCTGAGTTGTGAGCACTTTGCTACCTGCGTTTTTAAGCCCTCTGTTTTGGAGGTGTTGGGGCTGGGATGTGAATCTGCTCTATTGTGTTTTCTTTCTCACCTGTGTTCTCAAGGTAGCCACTCACAGTCCCTGCTACTGTGGTTATTTCAGTGTGTAGTTTATTCACAAGCTCATCGGAAAGAAACATCAGCTCATCAGTGGTGCTCCCAAACATGGGAGCGTTGGATGGCCAAATGTGTTGTTTTGTGTGGTCTTCCATGAATATATAATAACAAAGAATTGTACATCACAAGGGAAGATGCTGTGCAATATACACTAACGTTCCACAGTCCTGCTCTGGTAGGAGAATACTCTCTGAAGCAGTAAAAACGTAGAGAAAGGCTCTGATGCTGGCTGAATCGTACTGAGGTTAATACTGTTGCTGATGAGGGCTGTGTTGTTCTTTAACTTGTATGGAGACAAGAATAATGAAAACACAGGGGTATAATCCTGGAGGGAACCAACTATCCACTCTTTGTTGTAACAGAACCTTGCAGAGATGTAGACCATCTATAAAACAAGTAGAGAATTGAGGTAAAATTTATTAACCCATATTGACATTTTTTTTGGATAAGAAAAGAGCTATATTTCCCATTATTGAGTGTTCTGAGTGTATTTTATGGAAGTTCCAATGAAAACACAGCCCTGGAATGTGAGCTGTAGTTGTGTGCTATATTCTCATGTTTGTTATTTCTTCATCTCAGTTTGATCCAGAAGTAGGAGTTCCAAAAGAACATAAAAACTCAGTGCTTTAAACCTAGGACATCTGAAAACACCTCGGTAAGCATATGGGCATAATTAGATGTAATGAGAACGATAACAGCTCCCTTACTAGAGATAGACTGCCTGGAGCAGTTTTGTTGTTGCCTAAAGGCTTTTTTAGATATAAAGAGAGTTTATAAAGTTAATTCCTATGAGTTTCTGAAATGTAGCTCACAGAACTGAGCATGAAGTACGGGATGCATTAGGTTTAGTGCAGCTGGAGCTGTGTTCTTCTTGTTATGGGAGTTTATTTTGTATTGGTTTTAATCCTTTTTCTTTTTAGGGGTCTTAAGATTGTGTATCTATGTCCAAAAGCAAAAAATAAATTCAGTAATAAAACAGAAATCTTTCAGGAGAGATGTATAGGCACACTAAGGCTCCTTGGGAGGAGTAAGGATTTACACCACACTGAGTTATTTCATAGCCCGGCACTGCAGCCTCACCACTCACATTCTCCCTGCGTATGTCTCTCTAACTTTTTGACCCTTTAAATACTGTGATCACCTTCTTCAGTTCCACATGAGATTACCAGTAAAACGCGTTATGCAGTGCAGTCCTTCTGCAGCGTGAAGGCTTACTAAAACTGCAGCAGAAAGGTAGGGCCGAATGTGCGGTGGAGCAGCGTCAAAGCAGCATCCTGTGACTAACTTCTCTAGCGCTCTTGGAACTGGCAGGCTGTCAAGTAAATTTAAATATATGACTTTGACATCATTAGAGTGAAACCAGAAGCCATAGTGAAATACCGTATGCTGTCTTTCATGTGGTGGAAATGCTTCTATGTGGCTGTACATGTAAATTAAAATATAGCCCCTGGCACATGGTTTCTAAGTAACCAACATATAAACACGGGTACACGCTCTCCAAACACCACTTGTATTACACCATCAATCATGAGCATGGGATTCCGTGTTCTCTTGCAAGTGGATGCTTTGGTGCATCATGTGTAGCAGTGATCCACGGTGCGAGGGCAGCGCTGCTGCCAGGTGCTGAATGCTGAGATCCCCGTCCCATCTAATCCGGGGCCTTTCCCCTGCTTTGAGTGTCATGTTAATGTTTTCTCAGAATAGAGTACCCTGCTTCTTGAATATAAGTTTTCATGAGAGCTCACTGAGAAGGGCAGTTTGCTTTGTTTCTCTTGGGAAGATCTCATCTCCTATGCAAACTGGCCTTTAGAAGCTGCCACTTACCAGGCTGTGTGAGCAGATTACAGTCAGGGATAGCGCGTTCCGGAAGCCTGCTGAACCCTGGGGAAGCTATGAAAGAGGGATCTGCAGCACCAGAAGGTGGTGATGTCCGTCCTGTTATCCCAACATCCTACTGTCTGTCTGCATTTATGCAGTATCCGGCTTCAGCTCTTCTCTACATTTGGAGAAGTTTTCTGATCATCTAAGCAGTTTTTCTAAACCTCTGTTGCTCTGCATGTTTGGATCTTTTTCTTGGTCTCTCCTTTTATAGCTGTTTTACTTTGATCCATTATTTAATTTTTTAAACGCGTTTCTCATTCTCATCTACCTAGAATGTGCATGAATAAAAAATTCAAAAGTCTTGCCAGCTTCCTTATGTGCATCAGCCATTGTGAGAAAATCAGTGCAGTGGCAATTCAGTCCTTAAGTGTTATCACAGTCTGTAAGTGGCTCTGCAGAGTGATGTGATGGTATTTGCAGGCTTCCAGGCTGTGATTCTTTGATTAAAGAAGAGATCTCTGCTGCAGTAAGACTCTCTTTGGCAGCAGTTGTTGTAGTGTCTTCTTCTTCTGCTCCGACAACTGAGTGTGAGCCTTTTTGGCTTCAGTAGCTCAAAGGTTTATACGGAGCAAACCTCTCAGACTCTCATGTCAGCATAATAAATATCTTAATTTCTCCACTTAAAATCCTCTTAAAGAAATGCCAGCAATGGTTATCATGCAAATGTTGGAAAGATACTTGAGAGTAACTTTCATTCATATCAAATTTACAATCAAACTTTTTGTGACTCCA